TTATAGTATATATATTATATTTATAATATATAAAAATATAATAGTATATAATAGTATTTATAATAGTATTTATTTATAGATATTATATATATATATATTAGTATTTGATTAAATAAAAATAATAATTTATTAATATCTTAAATAAATGATTAGTCTTACATATAATATTTTAATAATATATGAGATTCATACTAATCCCAATAAATAATAGTAATTTTTAAAGCAAAGTACTTACAAAAAATGTAAATTATTATTATTAATATTATTAATATTATTATTATATTATAATTATTATTTAAAAAATTTTGTTCAAAAGACAAGGGGTCAATTGAAACATTCATTTTTCTTTACTGTTTAAATATAACTGAAAGAACTGAAAAATGATTCGTATCGGACATTAATAGCGCATGATTTATAAACGATAACGAAACGTTTCTTTTTCTGCCTTTTATTTTTTCTTTTTTTTCTTTTATTCCCTAACATTTTATTTTTACAGTCACTACATTGCATCGTTGATTAATCTATAAGATTCAAGTGCTAATATCGTCATGATACCTAAACCAATTATTTATTTTTTTTTCACAATTCTTTGCGAACGCACGTGTCAGGTTTTTCTTTTTTTTTCTCTCTCTCTCTCTCTCTCTCTCTCTGTCGTTTTGTCCTCTACTACATTTACTCATCTATTTTGTAATTTTCCACGTAAATAATATATATATATATATATAAAACAACTTTATATTATAAAAGATTCTTAGAGAGTTATGAAATGCATACATTACATTTTATAACATAGTATTCATGATTTATGATGTAGCTTTGTTTTTCTGTTCGTTTCTAATGTACGTTGAAATATCGATCATTAATAATTAAACAAAAAGAGAATATATATATATATATATTCAATAAAATAATTTAATCCGAGTTAAAAGTAGAAATTTAGGAACTCGTATAAAAATTATAAAAGTTAGAAACAATATGGATCATATTTATTTTGCAAATCAAATTAACTATTTATAAATTAAAGACAATTTTAAATTATATATATATATATATATGATAATTAAAATAATATAATTAATATTATATAATAATTAAAATAATATAATTAATATTATAGTATTATTATTATTATTATTATTATTATTATTATTATTATTATTATTATTATTTATTATTTATTATTATTATTATTATTTTGTAATAATTTAACTTATAGAAATAAAATATATACTTAATAAAATGTTGTTCCTTTATATTTTAATAGGTTTATTTTTAAATGAAATTAATCCATATTTCATATATAATTTTTATAGAGAGTATTAAAATTAATTGTAAAATTAGATGAGAAACATTTTCTAATGAAATGAAGATCATTATCAAGGAGAATTTAAACAATAAGCTTTCTCAACCTGATGGTAAGTTTCCATCAGGTAGGTAATCCATAGTACACTTTCCCTATCCATAATTTTTCTTAACAAGTGAAAATGACATTGCACAAGTTCGAGCAGCATAAAGGAACGTTTCGTGACAACGTTTAATGGATCTCTCCTCAACATAATTACACGACAAACATTCATGTTTTTCTTATCGATGTTTAACCGTACCTCACGCGAATATCTGCTGCTTTTGCTGTTGCTACTTGGCTAGTCATGTTTTTAACAAAACTGTTTTTACGTTCAACAAGATAACAATGAAAATTTCTGTCTTATATAATTGTGAAAATACTTAAGAAACGCATTCATCACCTCCCCTTTCTTTTTTAGCTGTTCCATTTTTTTTTAATAATTTGTCTACTTTGTAACTAATTTTAAATAACAAATATGATGCAACAATTTGCTATTATACTTAATCACATGATTAAGTAGGAATATATATTTATGTTAATAAGATTGAAAACAATGTGAAGAAAATGATATTCAGTAGATAAAATGTTTGAATTTATTAACGATAAGAAAATAATTAGCAGTGCTCTTAATGCATTTCCATTGGTTTTTATGAACTTTGTATAAATAATAGATTATTCTATTCGTCTATTAAATATCAATAATATGACTACTCTGACTGTGCTTAATGACTATACAAGGAATGAATAACTTGGTAGAAAAGTACATTTTAAATATACACGTGATTTTATCTACCTTTTTAACGATGTTTATTTTTTACTTTTAACGCAGTCCAATTATTATACGAAGTTAGTTAAACTTCAAATTATTAACGACATAACGATGTTTTATTGATAATTGTATTATTTCAGTTCGATAAGAAAAATGTCGAGGAAGAATAGAAAACGAAAGGAAGGGGGAAACCCTTTGGAAATTACTTGGGAGGAAGGAAGTTATTTTCCTAACAAATTAAAAGAAGAAATGAAAACAATGTGGGAGGTATGTTGGAAAATTATTGTTAAGTAATAAAAAAAAAAAAAAAACACATATTATTCTTTTATTTGTTGTTAATTAATAAAATGAAATTTTGTAGATACCGCAGATTTATCAATTTCTTCATTTAACCAAAGATATTTTAAACTTACCGAATATAACAATTTATGAAATGGAAAGGATGCTCATCATACCAAAAGCTTCTAAACAATTAGCAAATATTATGACATGTTTATTAAAGTATACATTATTCATATTTTATATATATATAATTATTATATCTAATTCTGTATCTTTTATTAATTAATTAATTTATTTTTTTTTTTGTATCTTTTTAGCTATTCAAAAGGAAACAAGATAAATAAAATATTACCAATGCCCTATGAATTTTGGACGAATATTTTAAGGCATAAGTTTAATAATTGGTTTAAACATTATCAGATAAAACACATGAATGTCATCAAAGTTAGTGCTAATTTATTTGATATATTATTATATTTAATATATACATTTTCTTTTGTTTGTTTGTTTGTTTGTTTTTTTTTTAATCTTTCTGAAATATTAAATTAACTTATTTCATACTACATTGTTTCTCTGATAATCATTAGATGTATGATCAAAGTCTTATAGGTTCTAGAAATGATTGGCGTTGAACCAGAATTCTGGAATGTTTTTCCTGATCCATCTTTATTCGTTAATAAAGATTTTGAAGATTTGACTTTTAAACAACGAGTATGGCTTTTAAAAACTCTTTGCGATTGTCTCGTGGTAATGAAAATAAATAAATAAATAATAATCTTATTTATTTGATTAGAAAGAAAATAGATTTAGAAAACAGTAATAATTTAACATCTTTTTTTGTTTTTTGTTTACAGCATTCGAAGAAAACAATTCAAGAAAAAATTTCTAATAATCCGTTGGAAGAACAAGAAGAAATAATTTTAGGAACCGATAGTCATGGGGCTACATATATTTATTTTCCACAATTCATCAATACCGAATTGAGAATATATAGGCATTGCATGAATAATAACATTCTTTCAACCGCTAAAGTATATTAATATTTTATTAGCAACCCTTTAACTGCAAACACACTTAAAAACAAAACTTGATAATAATGTTTTATTCATTATAAAGAAAAATGTCGCGTTACTCGTTTGTTCACTGAATTATTTAGGAAGTGTATGCAGTCAAAGGGTTACATTACATATACTATGATTTTTCATATAAAATTGAATAAGTTGATTAATTGAAAATTATAATATATGTGTTTTAGCCTGTAATAGCAGAGACAACTGCAAAATCTGAAACAACAGATAAGATTAATAATTCGTCATCACCCGATGAAAAAGTAAAGAAAATTAGAAAGAGAAAAAAAAATCACAGATGGCAGAATGGATATTGTCAAAGAACGAGAAAAGATAAATCAGCTAAATCTATGGGAAAGAAGGTGGATAAAAAATTGTATATTTGCAATTGTAGTAATAGTGCCATAAATAGATCTATCAGTGAAGATTTAAATTTAAGTTTTACTAGCTCGACTAGTAATGATAATGATAATGATAATGATAATGATGATGATGAGGATAATGATAATGATAATGACAATGGTGATAATAATGATAATGATAATGACAATGGTGATAATAATAATGTAAGTATAAATAATGTTGACGAAAAAACAGTGAGAAGTTTATCTAAAATGTCTGATGAAAAAAGTACAATGTCAACCAATAATACAAGTGGATACGAAACAAATGCATCATCAAATAATGAAGCTATTAAAGAAAGTACTTTTAAAGGATTTTCTATTCCTGCCGGTGAGAAAGATGACATTGTAATAATTAATCAATTATTAAATAAATTAAAAACAGAAATAGATAATAATATTGTTAATTCTAATGTAAAGATAAACAATACGACTGATTTAATAAATGACGCTGAAAGTTCTAATTTAATACGGCATGAAAATAATGTAGAATCAATTTTAAACGATAGTAGTGATTCGAACAGATATAATTTAGATAATTCATCTAATAATTCGAAAACTGATGATGAAAAATTAAACGAGATAATAGTAACCGCAAATACAACATTAACGGATAAAACAATTGCAAATAATTGCGAAGACGTCACAGATTTAGATTCAACTTTTACTTCCAAGTCGGATGATGAGAAATTAAATGAAACCGAAACTTCGATAACTGATACAATAAATAATATTTCTAACGATGTACCTGATACTTCTTATAAATGCAACAATAGAAAAAGAAAAAGATCGAATAATAGAGAAATAAAGATTGCTAACAAAAAATTAAATGTCATCGACAATGAATCCGTTCTCGAAGCAGACGAAATGCAGAATTGCAATGATACGAGTTTTGAATTGAATACAGATTTCAAAATGGAATATACATTATTTGACAATGATTCTAATAACGAATCACAAATTACAGATATAGATTTAGAAGACAACAAAACAAAAGAAATAAAAAATAATCATGAGATGAAGAATAATAATGCTTCTTTTAGAGTAATGCTCAGTGAACTTGGTGTATCCAATTTTTTACTTGTAGCTGATAGCGTTGATACACTGAAAAAACTTATTTCAAGTTTTCCATCTAATACAGTAAGTGTTTACAAAATCATCTATCATGTATTAAAAATTGTTATTATAGTAGCTTTGAATGAATGAATKAATTAATTTGAAACTTTTTCAGACGGAATCATCGTCACCTTCGTGCGAAGAATTATTAGTAAATAAATTGAAGGACCTATTAAAATCTGTTGAAAAAGTTGAAGCAGTTTTAAAAGATACGACAAAGAAAGCTAAAGCAAAGTTATTAAAGGAATGGACGAATTTTAAAATTGGGTATGTTGTAAAGTAGAAATTATTAATTATCATTTCATAAATGTTCGATCATTAAGTATGATGAAAAGTCCAATTTAGAATTGAGTGTAATCGGACATTTAATACTTAACACGTTAATCGTAAATTTCTCGTTTGAATAATCGCAATATTTGTGTTCAACTTTTGACCACATCTTTTTGATTTATAATATAAATTCTATTGTATGAGTTGCACTATTGGTGTTCAAGTAAACAGTCATGACATTTGTTGTCTTGATACGTCTGTTATTTTTTTATTTGAAATTGTACTTTGTGTTGTGTACTTTTTGAAATTGAATATCCCGCCAAATGATCATTGCTTGTTTGGACAGAAAACAAAGTAAAATTAGTTCACCCTTAACTCATTATTGACCTCTAATATACATTCATTTGTTTTCCGAAACATTCATCTCATAAAAATTTAGTAAATAGTTGTATTCGACTTAAATGTAAGCCTGAAACCTCTGATAATTGCTACAATGAATTTACATAATATACTTTTCGTATAATATCAAATCATCTCTCTCTTCCAATCTTATATTGAAATTTGTATGAAGTATATATGGTAAATAAGCTTGTTTGTTGTAGCAGTATGGAGGATCAGGATTCGTCTGGTGAAAATGGTGTCAGCTCTAATTGGTGGGTTCTTGGATCACAGGGCAATGAATTGTCAACTTCCAATGATGAATCAACGTTACAAACGTTATCGAATATTACCTTATCCTCAACTAATACCGGAAGTCGTGCTCAATCACCAGACAATCAAGGTGAAAAACACTGTACAACAGGAGAAGAGAAAAAGTGTGAAGAAGACAAAAATAGAAAATCAAATGAAGAAGAAAATAATAGAAAGTCAAATGAAGATCAAAGAGGAGAAGACAACGAAGAGGAAAACGTCAAACAAGAACGTCAAGCAGAACATAAGGAACATCAAGAACAACAAGAGCATCAAGAAAACGAAGAGTGCAGCGGAAAAAAAGAAGGTAAATGAAATAAGCTCATCATTATTTTCGATGTAAACAATTTTTTTTTATTTCTTTTTTTTTTTTTTTTTTACTGTTGTTACTATTATACATGCTTACTTACTGGTAAGTATTTGTAAGTTTTTTCTATTAAGATCGTACAAATTTTAATCAATCCTAGCATATTCAAGTTTGTATAGTTATTGGGTTGGCAAGAAAGTCATTTCGGTTTTCTAGTGTGAAATATTACTTTCTTGCCAACCCAATAATATTATATAACCCTTAATGAACGATCGTTATTAGATATACAGTTAAGTTGTCGCGAGTATGGCGACATTCGTCCGTTAAGAGTTAAAATACTTATATTATTTTATAATATAATAATATATATACTTACTACCGAAATTACTTTCTTGCTAACTCAATATTATAGATGCAGAGTATGCAATAACAATTATTGGTTCATTATGAATAATCATTTATTTCTCTTTGTATGAAGTAGAGTACGACATTACAAATTTCTTATTAATGATAATTTATTTCTTGTATATATATATATTAAATATATTTTCAGAAAAACAAACACGAAGAGTCCTCCGAACAAGAGGAGTGTCTTCATACACAGAACAATTGTACCCCTTTTATGAGATCGATGAGAGCGAGTTGGATGAATGGACCTACTTTAAGACCATCAATACGCCTCCCAGCACACAGATCAGTACATCCACTCCTAACACTTCTTCGAAAAACAGAAACAACAACGATTGGTCAGAGAAAGAGGATTCAGACCAAGATTGGATATTACCAAGCTCTCGCAAAAGGAAAAATAAACGTTCGTGTGAGTAATTAAACTTCAAAATGAACTATTGAAGCATTTATTATATGTTGGTAGTATTATCTGTTACTTTTTATTTGATTTTCTCTTATATTTCAGCCAATTATAAAAAACTGAAATCTTTGCAAATTAAAAATCTGAATAATAAAATAAAAGATATAGATGAACAAGGGACATCAAATAGTAATAACCAGGATAATAACCAAGATAATAATCAAGATAATAACCAAGATAATAATAAGGATAATCCTAATACAAAAGGAAAAGAAAAGAGATCAGGAAAGATTTTGAAAATACCATCTGGTATTTTAAAGAATTGGTCTAAAAAATCACAATTGAATTCGAAGAAAATAATATATCCTCAAATACAAGAAAATTCAGTACGGACTGTATCTTCTGTAGAAGCAGCTAATATTGGATATACAGATAGCATACATTCCGAGTTAAATATTAAAGACGAGACACCAATTGTAGATTCATTATCAAATCAATGTAAAACTAATTATAATACTGTACCTGAAATAAGTTATCTCGTACAACCAAATCCAACATTGATCGGTGTCTCTCAACAAAATACTTACGTTCAAGCAAATTCAATTATTCCAAATATCGTACCTACCTTACAACAAAATTATTATATGCAAGAAACGCAACCAGATTATCTTCTTTACAATCAACAACCTAATTTTGTTCCAATACAACAAGTACCTTGTATAGTAACGTCACAACAAATAGTAAATCATCCATCGTATATTTTAAGCACGGCGAAAACGAACACGAATGCACAATCAATGAATAAAAAGACCAATGAAGTTATTATAATAAAAAAAAAGAAGAAAGAATCACCTTTGCAAACCGATCAGTATAGTATTACAAGATCTAATGCCGCCATGACGCCGCAATCTTCTTCAAGCTCAACATCGCCGAAAAGAAAGATTAAGAAAAATGTAGATACGAATAAACCGAAAAAAAAGACGTCGCTGATAATATTAAGTAGTGATGATGAAATTGAAATTCTCGATGAGAAAATAGATAATGAAAATAATTCCAAAAACAAGACAAAATCGAAACCGGAAACTGAAACTGTTCAAAATGATATTGACAGTGCTTTAAAAAATATCATTCCTGATGAATTTATGCAACGGATAAATCAAGGTTGCATTTCGATAACGCCAATTAAACCACCAGTACAGACGCAAATCACCCCAACGCAATTGGTTGTTGTTGTCAATGAAACTGGAAATTATTATGCCTTAGCATTACCTAATGGAAGCAAACTTATCCTCACACCTGAACAAGTAGCACAAATTAGAGCTTCCAATGGTGGAAAGCTTGTTTTGTAAAAGAAAGACTATTATTATTATTATATTAATATAAATACTATTTAGTATATTAGCACATTTGTACTTTATACTAAAGATTTATATTTTGCATTTAATATTAATAATATCTGCAAAATTTATTCTTGTAGAGATTATAAATACATTTTGTGTTTTGTTTCATTTTTAATTTTGTCTTACATTAAATTTTGTTATTAACGAATAAACAAAAGTAATAAATTTATTTTGTATTATATTTACTGTTTAAATTTACAAATACTTTTTTACGGGTTAGTTTAGATTAAAATATTAAGAGTAAATAAATTTATTTTAATAATAATTATGTTTATGTTAACGCAAGATTTATGTTTACATGTAGTGTCTTGCAATTAGTGTCAAAATAGTGTTATTAACATAATTTGCATTACAAAAGAAAACAATTATTGTAGTGGACGATTTTATACAACACTATAATGTATGAATCGTGTTAGAGTTAACTGTACAATGTTATACATTTAAAATATAATGTTTAAAAGTAAGAAACTCCATTGTATAGAATAATTCTTGTATTTTAAATATCTTTATAAATAATAATTAATAATAATTATTAAAATTTGTGTGTCATTTGAAATAAAAATGAATTATACACAATTGAAAATAGGATTAATTACTTTAAAAAGATTTCTTACATTTAAATGTAGTTTTATACTATTCATGTATATATTAATTCTATATATATATATATAATTGATGATATATTAATTATTTTCTTTTTAAATGTTACAAAGCTCAACGAATAAATAATAGAATAAGTTTAATTAAACTTTATTCTTTTTCACGAATTCATTTTTATCGACAGTAAGAAATTTTGATAGACGTGTTCCGTTATATGGCGTATTACTTCCTGGTGGATGGAGTCTCATCTAAAACAAACGAAATTATTTTATGCATTATAATTTAATATACTATTTATATTTTAATAATTTGTACACTATGACAAATCTATTTTTCCTTGTTAACAAAAATTGTATTTGATTTTATTTATGTAGTTACGTTGTATTTTTAAATATTTTTATTTAAGCTCTCTTGTTTAATTATTATTATTTTTTTTTTTAAATACATAGACGCAAGTGATGCACACATATAATGCACCGATATTAAATTATAAATGCTGACATTTTTATATAAATTATCAATCAAAAATATTTAAAGATACTATAATCCAATAAATATCAGCAATTTTTATTATACGAATAATTATAATTATTATTATTATTATTATCTATACTAAATGTTACGTACCGAAGGATGTAGAAATAGTTCCTGAATAAAATCCCGAAGTTTCTGTTTTGTTGTAATATTATAATTTCAATATGTATAGAGCATATTGCATTTATAATTAGAATAATAATAGATAAATATACAAAAAAAGAAAAAAGATAATAGAATAGAAATATTTACAAAAGTAGCATTATTTCGTTTATTTTTATACGGGAAACAAAAAATGAAAAAAAAATAAAAATAAAAAAGAAGATTGCAATAGCTAGTAGTAGTTCAATATTTAATTATCTTTTTTTTTTTCTTTCTTTTAAAGAAAATAATATTATTTAATAATTTTCATAAGTTTTATAAACATTATACGAATTTGTGTTAAAAAGAGACTATCATTATATTATACCTACACTCTACTACGGGAAAATTATGATAATTATTATAATTTATTGAAATTATGATCGATTAAATTAAGCGACATTAATGCCTACTAAAACCATACTTCCGATTTTATTGTTAATAATTAATTGTCAAGAAGCTCGGTGTTAGTTTTATTATTTAAATTCAATGTCAAAGATACAACAGTCCTTTTTTCCTATTCTTTTTTTTGTTTTTTTGTTTTTTTTTAAATAATACAAATGAAAAATTAAATCGTACTATTAAAAAAGGAATTTGAGGTTTTGTAAGAAAAGAAAGAAATTTCATTCTTTTTTTTGTTTGTTTGTTTCTTTTGTTTTGTTTATAAATTACTGAAATATTATTATTATTATTATTTTTTTTTTTGTAACTATGCACAAAACATATTTCTTATTTCAATCGTACGTTTCGTCATGTGTATTTAAACTTACAATTTAATATTCGATTAAATTTGTTACATTATTTTGTCATGTTCAACGAAGTAGTATTTAATTGGTATCAAAAGAAATAAAATAAAAAATAAAATAATCAAGCGAAGCGAGCCATTGATTAGGTGTGAAAGTATAACTTTAGTATTCGTTATGTGTATTCAGGCACCTATTTAATTATTATTATTAATATTATTATTAATATTTTACAGATTTGATATCAATGGCGGATCAAGTCAAGTGGGAATCCCAAGCGATACAAATTTCAGGATTCTCTAACTGAAGTTATGAAAAAGAAACTTCCATGAAGTTATTAACAAAAATTTCATAGTATAACGCATCAACTAAATTTATTTAAAAAAAAAAAAAGAAACATATTTTTCTAGAATCTTAATGAAAAGAAATTTGGAAACTTTGGAATTCCGAAGAGTTGCTCAATCCGCCATTGCATTTTTGTACCCTGCAACAGCGCAGCTCGAGCATTAGTAAGTAAGATATAATTTGGTTTTATGTAATGTGTGTGTACATGTATGTTTTTCTTTTTTTGTTTTTGTTTTTTTTTTTTTTTTAATATTCTTTTTTTAATAGTGTGTGAATAATGGATTTGCGCGTGGATTGGCCGTGCAGCATCGTCATTTTCATCTATTTCTCGATGTAGTCGTTGTCAATGGCTTTTCCGTCTCCCTCGGCATTTTTGATTCGCTTCTGTAAGAAAAAAAGAAAACCAACACCAGCGGTTACACGTAGTGTTACGATGATCGCATGAATAATGAATGAGCATGTAGCAATGTGATATTATGATGTTCGGGGCATTGCAAACGATCGAAAATGGATATCATTGTTGAACGTAGATTGGCCTTATTGTTTATTCGAAAGAGGGTTCTTTCTGAAAATGATAAAATATCATTCAATAGGGTGTAATAATCAATGCATATTAATCTATGATTTTGTTTGTGTATGCATATATCTGAACCTTTTATAATATTTTTATACAAATGCACCACTCCCAATATAATTTGGATTGCTCGAAAAGTTCGGCGGATTTTTAATTATTTTATATAATAATATTTTTATATATATAATATATTTTTTATATTTTTATTTTATATATTCTATTATTTTAATATTTTATATATTTATCTTATTTTTATAATAATATATAATATTTAATATTTAATATATAATATATAATATTTAATATTTTATATATTTTAATATTTTATATTATATATTTATTTTATTTTTATAATAATATTGAATATTTTATATTATTTTTTGTTCTTAATCTTGTTTTAAACTTGTCAAGCAACCCAATACTTGGTAGTACGTGTTATTTCGTTTTGAATTTAATTATTTTAAAATCAAAATATCATGTAGTACAATACATACAAGTAATGCACTAAATAATATTATACTAATTCATATTATTATAATACTTTTACAAAACTTTCTTCCTGTTCGATCGACTTGCATGAATTTTGAACATGTTACTGTGCAACAACCAAGTGTGCGCCATGCTTTTGATTCTCGTAATCACTTTATCACAGCAATCTTTCAATATTTCCACGCTAAGAATACGCTTTCTATAGAATAATAATAATAGTAATCATTTATAGATATGATTACTCACCATAATTCTATATTTTTCCTTACAAGCGTACTCCGATTCATCTACGTCATTGTAACAATCACTTTTGTAATCCTCTGGAATAGGTTTGCCCTCAAATTGACAAAGCCTCCATAATGGTTTCGCTTTTACGATCATTTTTTCAAATCCTGTTGGCTTATGTTGGGGACAATAAAACACGTCCGGCGTGTTCTTGTCGAAAACTATACTTTTACGTATTATATCGCCGCCATTCACTGTTATTAACAATACCTAATAAAAAATAACAAATTTATATAATTAATTTCATTAAAATGTTCATAACAATGCATACAAATAATTCTTCAAATAATTTTATACAAAATATCTACATACAGTTGTATTATATTTTAACAATATATATATATATATATATAATTTTGAATTTTTCTGTATCCTTAAATTCGTACGAATTTTACGTAGTATTCCAAGGGAAAATATTGCACGTAACAAAATGTTACGAAACAAAAGTTGAGAAAATAATTTAAGAAAGTTGTACATATGTGTGATATATTTTATACATAAGACATTTCACTTACAGCGAGCAAGACGAATAAACTGCTAGCATAAGTGACTCCTGAAAATAGAAAAAAGAAAATAATCAAATAACTTGACTGACGTAAATGTGAAACGAAAGGAAACGTAACTCGTTAAGAAAAAAAAAAAAAAAAAAGAAAAGAAAAGAAAATTGGTGTAAGGATATCTACTTATTTTTATTTCTTGTATTCAACATTACGTAAACGAACTATCGAAATCAATAACAAAATGATAGAAAAATAAATTAGATCAAGTTTTGCTTGACTTTTTTTTCTATGTTTGTGTCATACGTAAACAACAAGTTTACCAGATCCAGTTTTATTTTTTAAATAATTATTTTTGTATCTCATATTATTACGAAGATTCAATTCTCTTATATTTCTAGCAAGGACGACGAGTGTGAAAAACTAGAATTATTATTATGCAATCTATCGAATATATTTTTTATATTTTATTACGAATTTTTATAATATTTATTTGACTATTTTATTGTATTTAATTGTGTTATAGTTATATGGTTGCAATATTTTTTAAAGTAACAGAGTAGTATATTATTCACGTATTATTAGAACAAAAATAGAATACAATTACAATTATAATTATATATATATATGTTATATTTTATAATATAAGTTTATATATATATATAATATAAGTTATATGTTATATATATTTTATATTTAAATAATATATATTATACATTTTATATATAATTATATATTTTACGTTTGTATATATATTTTGTTTATATATATATATTTATTTATTATTATTATTATTATTATTATTATTATTATTATTATTATTATTATTATTATAT